AAAAYCYGCGTCCGAATTTCAATTCACATCAACTCAGATTACTTATATAGAACAGTAAAACGTCACTTCTGATGTTAACAACCAAACAATTTTACTGGCACTTTTAGCTTAAGTTTTGGCAAATTAAGAACAAGGAAAGGAGGAAAGTAAGATTAGTATGTTACTACGACTTTTACTTTTAAGTGTGGGTCAACCGGAACTGCACGTCTTTTCTAAGCTCAGGTTCCACATGACACGTCACTCCGAACACATCAGCTTTTACCTGATGATGGCTTCTTAAGGCACCTTCGGGGTAGGAGCTGGCTTGCCTCCGATCAGTCAGGGAACTGATGTCGGCTTGCTTACTGGTCATTGGCGAACAGGTGTTTTTCCAGGTAACTTTCGTCTATTTCAGTCCAAGCCAGAAAAATTCAAGCCGTATCCGGTTCCTCCTTCCAAAATAAAATCTCCCCTTGGGAGTTAAAAACACACTTAGAGGCTCAGCCTTGGGTTGAGACCACTGGCAGGCGTGCCGGGTCCCTGGCTGTGAAGTCTTCCCTAGTTAGCTCATGGGATCAGACTTTAAGCCAAACTGAGGTTTCTCCGGAGAGAATCACAGCTGTCTTCCTAGGTTGGAATCAGGAAGAAGAGTGTGTCGCTCAAAGCCATCTGGGTTAGTAAAAGAAACAGACGAACTTTGGTTCCGCCCTCAGGCTTAGAGATGAGTCAGAGAAAGAAAGATAAAGATTTGCCAGCCGGCGCCAGCCCAAGGTTAAAATTCTGTGGTTGTTCAACAATATGATATGATAACCTCTTTTCAGCTTTCTTCTGATAGACAAAGAGAAATCACTGCAAAACATTTATGATGATTAATTAACATTTCTGTTTTATAATCAGTTCTGAACCTTCTGTTAGTCCAGATAAATGAAAGATTTTCTCAGGAAAAATCCACAATTATATTACTGTGTTCACAGTAAAATAAAAACAGTGATTTACATAAAAACACAATGAAAACATTGTAATCAGATTCTCTGTGATTTTTTTTATACCATTATAAATCTTTAAGGCACGATAAAAGAAAAGAAGTGGTTCCATTTTTCCTGTGACAGGCATTATCATGATTTAACAAATGCATAAACATTCTTAGTTAAACAACAAATGAATCACGAACAGAAGAGATTGTTCTGTCCATTATCTGATTAAGAGAACTGAGGGGTTCTCTTCCACGGTTAGAATGACCTGTCATGGCCTAAATAGAGTTCAGTTTGTGACAGAGTTCCTGTCCTCTCATCAGGCCTGTCCGAGGCCTGCTTCGAGGCAGTAAATCTTGTTTCTTCACTCGAGGTGACCCCTATATCATTATGTAAAACGTTTGACCAAAAAGTACACAGACCAGTGATCTGCAAATTTCAGAAACTCATATTTTGTTGACAAGCATAATTTGTTTTTCTCAAGGTACTGCATTGAGCGTGTGTTCCGACCCAGAAAGCTGGATCGTGCACACCCGAGGGAACTCGTGGAGTGTGCCTATGACATCATCACACCCATCACCAACAGCTTGCTGCCTGATGCGGAGACTATTTACACCATCTCTGAAATAGTCCAGGAGTTCCCTGCGCTTCAGGTTGTATGCAGCTCGTATTGTGAAGTTTGCATTCTGCTGCCTTGTTCTCATTCAGACAGAACAATCCGTTCATGTGCAGAACCTTCATTTTTCCTACCAGTGTCATCAGCTCAGTTTAAACGTTTGTTTTTTCCTCCTTAACTTCCCCCTTACATTCCCAACATTCCAAAGTATGTGTAAGCCCTACTGAGTCGCATTGAATTTATTGTTTATGTAGTAAATCTGTATGTGTAGCTTTGTCCGCTTCCTTCCCTCCCTTCCAGTACMGTCTGTTTCCTGTCCACATTTATTCTAGCTCTGCGTCAGTCCCGTCACAGCTCTTTTTTCTCACTATATGAACTCAGTCAACCTCGAGTCTAGCCTCTTGTATTTCCCCCCATAGATCCTGTCTGTGATCCTCTCCACTGCCYCGCTCTTTGTGTGAAAGCTCTTAAGAATACGTGCGTCAGACAGAATGAGAGGGCAGCCGGACACAACAGTTATTATTCGCTGAGGTGCTCTGTGCACAGACGTGCTGTTGACATTGACTATAATTGCAGCTGAGAGGGTTAAAGGTGTGTTTATGACTGCAGGAGAGGAACTATAACATCTACCTGAACCACACCAGCTTGTTGAAGGCCATCCTGCTTCACAGCGGGGTCCCTGAGGACAAACTCAACCAGGCCTCCAACATACTCTGTGATGCCATGGTCAGTGGTTTCTCATATTACTAACAGTCCAGGACGCATTGGGTTGTTATACAACTCCAACTCCAATGAAGTTGGGATTTTGTGTAAAACATAAATACAAACAGGATACGATGGTTTGCAAATACTTTTCAACCTATATTCAATCGAATATACAACAAACAAGATATTTAATGTTTAAAATTTATAAATACTCATTTTAACAGGTTAATTGGAAAAAGGTGAGTGTCATGATTGAGTATAAAGGGAGCATCTCTGAAGGCTCAGTTGTTCACAAGCAAGGATCAGGTGAGGTTCACCACTTCGGTTGAAAAAGGATTTGCAAATCATTGTATTCTGTTTTTATTTATGTTTTGTCCAAACATCATTGGAATTGGGATTGTAGAAAAATATCTGCTTTTATTTTTGTTGTTGTTGGTCTTAACCTTTTTTTTACTTTAACAAACAACAAAATATAATCTATTGGTATAATGGAAGATATGAAACTGCCTCCAGTTTCGATTTCAAGATGGCAGCTACTTGCAGCTTTAGAAAGTTAACTACATAACTTTTACTATTAATTATCTTCCTTAAATTTTTCTGCATGTTTAATCACTCGCACAAGAAGTGTGTTTTCTGTGCAATACTTGTACTTATTAAAATCAATGTTTAATTGCATGATGTACGTAGTAGAGCTCTCTTTTTATCATTTGTTTATATTGTAGCAGTGTTGTAGCTAGGTTAGCGGCAGTTATACAATCACCTGTCGGCTAACTGGAATGCAGTTTCATATGGTTTGTTTGTCACTATCATTTACCAGTTCCCAGGAATACGATGTAAATGGAACGCAGCAAAAAAGTCACAACCCTGAATCAGTAGGTGGAGAAAAACTAACTACACCCTTTCTGCAGCTGAACAATTTCACTTTATTGTTCGAGGCATTCAGCATATAGTCTCATGGAGAAAAGACGTCATTAAAAAGACGTCTTGAAAACAATACAGTTTGGACAGAAGAGACCGAAGAGGAAAAGATTGGTCATAACCCCCATTTAGAGGGAAACAAACACCTCCAGCATGGAGGTAGAGAGCTGATGATTTGGGCTTGATTTATAGCCATATGGTTTCTGCACCTTGCTGTCATCATAAATCACAATCCCCTCTTTATATCAAAGTATTGTAGAGTCAAACGTGAGACCATCTGCCCAACAGCTGAAGCTCAGACCAAAGGGGGCCGCTGCAATGATCCGGAGTCAGGAGCTGTACTGGAGTAAAAAGCTTTAACGAAACCTTAAGAGGCTTGCGTCTTAGATTTTAGTTTCCTGGTAGAATGATTTAATGAAGAATGGAAAACCATCAAAAATGTTATACAAAAGTTGGTTATTTCAGCAGGGAGTTCTGGAAAAAAAAAAGCAGCAGATAAACAGCGATGGAACATTTACACTCACTGGCCACTTTATTAGGTACAACACGCTAGTAACGGGTTGGACCCCATTTTGCCTTCAGAACTGCCTCAATTCTTCATGGCATAGATTCAACAAGGTGCTGGAAGCATTCCTCAGAGATTTTGGTCCATATTGACATGATGGCATCACACAGTTTTAGGAGATTTGTCGGCTGCACATCCATGATGCGAATCTCCCGTTCCACCACATCCCAAAGATGCTCTATTGGATTGAGATCTGGTGACTGTGGAGGCCATTTGAGTACAGTGAACTCATTGTCATGTTCAAGAAACCAGTCTGAGATGATTCCAGCTTTATGACATGGTGCATTATCCTGCTGAAAGTAGCCATCAGATGTTGGGTACATTGTGGTCATAAAGGGATGGACATGGTCAGCAACAATACTCAGGTAGGCTGTGGCGTTGCAACGATGCTCAATTGGTACCAAGGGGCCCAAAGAGTGCCAAGAAAAGATTCCCCACACCATGACACCACCACCAGCAGCCTGAACCGTTGATACAAGGCAGGATGGATCCATGCTTTCATGTTGTTGACGCCAAATTCTGACCCTACCATCCGAATGTCGCAGCAGAAATCKAGACTCATCAGACCAGGCAACGTTTTTCCAATCTTCTCTTGTCCAATTTCGATGAGCTTGTGCAAATTGTAGCCTCAGTTTCCTGTTCTTAGCGGAAAGGAGTGGCACCCGGTGAGGTCTTCTGCTGCTGAAGCCCATCTGCCTCAAAGTTCGACGTACTGTGCGTTCAGAGATGCTCTTCTGCCTACCTTGGTTGTAACGGGTGGTTATTTGAGTCGCTGTTGCCTTTCTATCAGCTYGAACCAGTCTGCCCATTCTCCTCTGACCTCTGGCATCAACAAGGCATTTCCGCCCACAGGACTGCTGCTCACTGGATGTTTTTTCTTTTTCGGACCATTCTCTGTAAACCCTAGAGATGGTTGTGCGTGAAAATCCCAGTAGATCAGCAGTTTCTGAAATACTCAGACCAGCCCTTCTGGCACCAACAACCATGCCACGTTCAAAGGCACTCAAATCACCTTTCTTCCCCATACTGATGCTCGGTTTGAACTGCAGGAGATTGTCTTGACCATGTCTACATGCCTAAATGCACTGAGCTGCCGCCATRTGATTGGCTGATTAGAAATTAAGTGTTAACGAGCAGTTGGACAGGTGTACCTAATAAAGTGGCCAGTGAGTGTAGACCTCTTAGAAATTGGCAGTTTTCCTGTAACGTTGGCTTGTTTCTCCGCCATAACCACAGCTGCAGCGCATCGGCAATCTTGAGCTTGAACAGGGACTACACGAGTGTGATTGACACTGGTGAGATGATCCTCCCGACTCCAGTTGGTTACTTCTGACTGGGAGCAGCAGTAGGACCACTGGGAGGTGCTTTGTTTCACAGATTATTTGTCTCATTTTCTACTGTCAGGACATAGTGACAGTTTTAACAAATATTTAAAAAAAATGTAAAAAAAAATTAAAGTTACCTACCACAGCTTTAAAGGCAGTTTTTCAATATTAGAAATCCTGGGGTGTATTTAGTGTTTTTGCACACTACTGGTAATTTGATATATGCCATGAGTTGTTCTATATTGGTTGCAATTGTCGAAACTTTTAAGACCTGTGCAGGCCCAGACGTTGCTCAATACGTGGTTATATATAAAAACCTTTTAAGGTTTAATAACTATTTTATCATGATAACATAGTATGATGATACTATACAGCAGCAAATGTGTAAATATTTATTTTGGCTGCTTTTGCTACAGAATGAGAAGCTGACCAGACGTGAAGTGGAAGCCAAGTTTTTCAACTTTTCATTGTCATCCACCAGTGTAAGTGCGCACTAATTCGATTTTAATATTTCAAGCAGCAAGTGATCGTTCTCTCAAGCTCTGGCTTTTCTCCTCACGTGTTGATTTCAGCTTCAGACGCTGTACAGGTACATCGATAATGGGAAGGGGACTCTGCAGGAACTGGGCCCGCTGCTGACCTCCCTCACCAAACAGAAGACCGCCGTCACCCAGCTGGCCAAGCAGGGCGCCAAAGACCTGGAGGAGCTCACCGTGCTTCTGCGCAAACTCGGCGTTAAACTCAGGGTGATTTGGAAAAAAGAAATCGAGGAGACAAAATAAAATGCTGTATGTTTACTTACTGATGCAGATGTTTTTACTTTTAGGTTGTGGTCAACTTGGGTTTGGTGTATAAAGTTCAGCACCACTCTGGAGTCATCTTCCAGTTCGTGGCCTTCATCAGGAAACGAAAGCGAACTGTACCTGATATAGTGGCTGCTGGAGGACGCTATGATCACTTGGTGGGTTTTATAATCAACCATCCACATTTTGGAATTAAAAGACAATAAATAAATTGGCCTGATGTTAATAAATTATCCAGCCGCTGGTGAATAAATATTACAGTTATTCCAAACGTAGCAGTGTTGATGATGCAACCTACTGCGTCTTTATTAGATCTTGGAGTTTCGAGGACCAGCTCCCACTGGCCCCATCCCCAGCGCAGTGGGGGCCAGCATCGCTCTGGACAAAATCTGTGCTGCCATGGCTGGCATGGAGGAGCCGGTGAGACACACACACACACACACACATACACACACTAAAATCTGACATTCCTAATTATTGTAATGACGGAGCAGCAGGCAGAGTTTCATATTTAATGATGGCTTTTTACAGCCGTCGCCGCCACACAGCCACTTTTAGAAACACGTTAATAACTATGATCAGTGCAGCCCTCGACTCCCTGCAGTTATTTTTGGAGGCACATGCTTTTCTATTATTTTGGATTCAGGCAGAAAATAGTCTGACAACACTCATTCATTCTTCTAGTTTTAGTTGATTTTGAAACAGTAGTTCTTTTTTTATGTTCTAGTTAGGTGTGACCATATCTGTGTTTTTATTTATTTATTTGTTTTTGTTGTTTCAGCCAACAGTGAGCACCTGTGACGCGTTGGTGGTCCCAGTAGGACATTCATCAATGTCCAGAGCTATCAATGTTGTCCAGAAGCTGTGGAGCACCGGGGTCTCTGCAGACATTGCCTAYGATGTCTCACAGGTTAGAAAATCAATTAAATAACCTCAATTAAAAAACTATCAATTTGCTCAAAAAACATTTCGTTTGCATTTAAACCAACTTGTACGACGTCATCTTATTTTGCTACTTTGATATTATTGGCAGAAAAATGATGAACACTCRTTTCTTTGCACACCTCATAAATTAAACATTCTTTTACAGGCAGCCAATCCTCTGCAGAACATAATTCCACTGCTCTCCTCTTGCCCTCATCYTATCTCACCTACTTCTAAATGACGTCAATGGTGTCTTTGTGACAAACTGCTAGGAACAAAGAGCTATAAGATCCTTCTTAAAATTGTTCTTTTTTCTATTGTTTATATCTAAATAATAATAATAATAACTTGCATGTAAAATGAAGGAATGAGCACAACAGTCCTCAGAATAAAAAAGCCAGTTTAGTTCAGCAAAAGCAAAGTTTCTATTTGAATGTTTAAGCCTGGTTAACCCGATCCTTCTTCTATTTCTACGACCCTATGTGACTGTCTCTACGCAGTATACTGTAGACTAGAAAGAGGCAATGCTTCTTGCACAGAGGTGCTTGAGATTGTCTCGGAAAGTTACTGAACTTCTTGCCCTTTCTTTGTGCTGCAGTAACCTTATCTCCCCTACAGAGGTCAACACCTGACTTTAAAGTAGCTGATCATTTATCAGCAGCAGGTTTATTGTGAAAGATTCAGATGTGGGTATTACAGAGGTGGCTAAAGTGGGGCTCATGGGCCAAAAGTGGCCCGCGAAGCCATTTGATTTTGCCTGCCAACAGTTGCCCTTGTTACTTCGTTGTAATCTCCTGTTTATAAGACTGTATTTCCACTTAGAGTCTATTTGTCCATTGACCCAATGCCTACACAAGAGGCTGTTTTGCAGATAGTCTTCACTCATGGTGCTTACTTTATCTTTGAATTATATTAAGATTAAACATGGAATACAAATACAAGAGGCAGATTAATACACTTGTAGGTTATCTCACTTTATAAGACCCCAAATATTCTTATTTTATCAGTTTTGGAAATGAGCTTTTGCTGCCTGAGCGCACGTCAAACTTTCTCCATGTYCATGGGCTAAAAATTGGGCTGCTAGCTTAATCATTAAAATAAAAGGACTTTACTTAAAAAGTATTTGTATTTCATGTATTATAWTGCTGCAGGTTATTCRCTTCCCTTGGATAGATTTTCATTTTAGCCCCCCTGGKTTATTATCTTAGGACTGTGCTTTGTAGTTAAACTGTTTCCTCTTTGTCAGGCACACTTTTTCAAAAAGGTGTTGCACTGAGCTGAGAGCCGTCCTTTCAAAGTGAAGCTATTTGTCGTCTGCTCCAGCTCCTCTGATGCCATGCTTCCGTCACATTCTTCATGTTTATGTGACGAACCCACCTCGGCCCTGTTTGTTCAAGCCGTGCCAGCATTTTAGTGCCTCTCGTGTTTTTTCCTCCTCCGCTCGATATRACCTATTGTTGTCCAAACTTTCCACCTCTGCGGTGAATGTGTTGCTTTAATGGTCCTCATTGTCTTTTGTGCTGGCACAGGACACAAGCAGTTGGCCACCGTCATTTTCCCCCCCTCGGAGTCCTCAGAAGTAATTAGGAAAGTTAGGCTCTCACCGAAAACAATTACATTCCAAATCATGAGGTCATGTGCTTTTGTTGATTACACACGCCTTGACCTGACCTGCGGAAAGCTGGTGATAACACCTCGTTAACCCCCCCCACCCCCTCGCCAGGCGTTTGTTTATACTTTTCACATGGAAGCGTCTTACCAGACAGAATCTCTAATTCTTTCTCAGGTGACGGTTTCTTTTAGCTTTTCAGTAGCCAAATATGGCAAACCTTTCCACATGGTGTAAGCTAAAGCCCCGGGCAGCTCGTTTGCCTCCAGGCAGTAGCTTAACTTTGACTTAATTCAATCAGTCAGTGTAAGAAACACTGTAAGGAAAGAGGAAGTGTAAAATGTGACACACACTGCAGGGTTTGTGTTGCAAGTTCAACAGAGGAGCCAAGCTGAAGCTGATGAGAATGAATTGGGCCGACGTTCACATAAGCTCATTGCCGTTGTTGAATGTTTTGCCTAACTTTGGTTTTGGTCCGAAGCCCCAGCTCATGGCCCGCTCCTCTGGTTCCAGGCTTAAAATAGATACCCATTAAAATAGAAGGGATCTGAGCCATGTTTCCATAAATCTTCTTACAAAAACCGCATCAGTTAAAATTCAGATTTAAACTTTATCGCTTGAATGATGCAATCCTTTTTTTTTTTTTTTTTTTTGTGTTTCTTGGGTTGTTCATTGAAGGAAACATTTACTAAACTTATAAACTGTCTGCAGTTTAAAATAAGCCATGACCCAAGAGGTCACACTGGGCAGCATCCTCAAGGTCCTGTTATAAAATCATGYGGTTTCTCTTTTATTGTTYCAACTAAGATGTCCATTTCAATGAGTTTTTGTGAATTTTGTGTGTCCAGTCTCAGGAGACGTTGTTGGAGCACTGCAGGCTGGCAGGCATCATGTGTCTGGTCCTCGTCTCTGACAAAGAGGGCAACTATGTGAAGGTAAATACAACTTTACTCTGCAATTATTTTTAGTCCCAGCTTGATGCATTCAGCGATATCCGACATATTTTTTGCATGAATTCGGCCACAGACCGACTTTAGCTCAAATGGTAGAAAACATTCAACAAGCTCGTTGTTCTGCACACACTAGCACATGTTAAAGTGATTTGGTGTTCCCAGGTGAAATCCTTTGAAAAGGACAGACAGTCCGAGAAGCGAATTCCAGAATCGGACTTGGTGGACCACATTGTTCAGAAATGTCGGACCAAATTCTTTGACGAGAGAAACATCAGGTGGAGGAATCTGTAACATGTGCTGCTCAGAATTTATTGACAGATTTAAAAGTTTCTTCTTTGTTTCTTATAAATGTTTGTGTTTTCCTGCAGAGAAATCTCTGATAGCATGACCCTCCAGAACCCTAAAGGATCACAGCTCAACAGCACAGGTAGTGACACTCACCAGTACTGGACGCATTCGTCAAGAGTGCTGCTTTAGAAACGTGCAGACGGAATGATGTAGAGCAACAAAATAAGGACCGAGAACATTTTGTGTTTCACACTAGTTTGGGTACAAAAAATGAAAAGCATTTGAACAAAATATGTGTACAGTTGTTGGAACTACTTTTGATCTACTGCTGTACAATTTAGTAAATGTGGGAAAAACTTGTTTTCAGGCTGCTTGGAGCAGCATGGGAGCAGCGGAAACACAAATATGAACGTGTACGTCATCAGCCCGGAGAAAGTCTCTGCTAGCACCAGGAGACGATACGAAACTCAGGTTTGTGCTGCAAATGTTAAACTGTTGATACATTTTTACCTGTTTGTGTGTGCATGTGTCTCTTTTCTCYTGAACCAGTGGGCAGATTTTATTGAAACTCTGAGAAAGTAATCCTCGGATGTACCGATGGTCTGCTAAACTTCAGCTTTTGGTCTGCTGTAAAATTCGCCAGAGTCTGGTGCCGACTCGCTTCGTGAACACATCAAATCTTTTCACCGTCTGATAAATTTCCACTCAGTGGAGAACAGTCTGAGTGACTGAAAATGAAGCATCCTAAAAGTTTAAGCCCTCTTCCTAAAATATCACCATCTCCCCGATAGCAGCTATCAAACAAATGAAGCTTATACCGCAAACATAGACGTGTATGGCAAGCTGTTTTGACATTAAATCAGCCTCACCACATTTACATTCCAGATTTCTCTAATCAAATTTTGACTAGGCAAAATACCTATTTGTGTATCTCTTCTTACATTCWGACTGGTATTAATGAGGTYAGATTAACCATTAAGTTKTTTGGAGGCTCTTAATTCTGCATATCTGCATTAAATTACTATCTTAAACTTATTTCAGACATCAACAATTAAATTATGACTCGTAATAAAGTAAATTTGAGACATTCCATTTAAAGATTTTTTAAAAATCACATCAGGTTTTTAGGTACAGTAAATATTGCTGTTCTTGGCAGTTTTTCTGACATTTTTTATTGATTGTATCAATATCAAAATTATATTGTATCAATAGAAATTAGGAGTTACATTGTGATATAAATTTTAGCCATATCGTCCAGCCCTTCTGATCATGAGATGATCTGTGYTTAAAGCTCTGGCGTGGAAGGCGGCGGACGATATGCATTCTTTTCAAGCAAACTAGCAAATAAAAGTCACACCCATATTTTGTGCCAGCAACTTATTTTGTGCTTCCCTGCGTGTCTTGCTTTGAACATAAAATTGTTAGAAAGAAAAAGTGTCACAGCAACGATTTTAATTGGAAATGATGGCATGTGAAGTTTGTTTCGCAACTGTTTTATGTTCATGGGAACAACTATCCTTTACTTCCCTCTCTTTTGATGCTTCGTTTGTTTTTCTCTCTCACACTCTCCCCCCTTTTTATTTATTTATTTATTTTTCTCTTTTCAGATTCAAAGCAGATTACAGAACCTTGGTAGCAATTTGCAGAACAAGAGCAATGACATTGAGGTTCTTGCTGTAAGTCCACTGTTTATTTATCCCCCGTTATCACTCCCAGGCCTGAGTCTGTTTTTTTTTTCCCCCCTTGCTCTCCCACCTTATCTGCTGAATTCATGTGTGAAATCACAGAAAGAGGAAAAAGCTTTGGATAGCTAAAACAACAAACATCACGAGGAGTTGCCCCTTTTATRAAGTGTTGGCCTTCTCCCCCGACCCCCGGCTGGTGGGGAGATGGCTAGCCTGTGAATATTTTCCAGTTGCTGCAGAACAATGAGCACTAAACAGAAGGCAGCGCCCGTGTCACTTTGGGGGGTGGTGGTGGTGGGGTGGGGGGATTGTAAATGGCTGCCATATTGTGTTTATTTGTGGTTGAGTTGCAGATTCATGGACAGATTCTCTTGAAGTAAATCTTCCTGCTTGTCTTAATTATAATGTTGCTTCATATTTCAAATGTTATGTCAGAGTTGTTTGGATCTTGGCTTTATGTGCGACGGAACAGTAAACACAACCCAACTGACAAAATCACCTTGCTGCAGTTACACAGGCTCATAAATCTGCTGGTGCATGTCAGTACTCTGAACATATCCTATGTAGACAGACGAATGAGTGTAAGAGGGTGTTTTTTTTTGTTTGTTTTTTCCATTTTTGCAGAATACGATGCTTCCTATAAAAATAACCAAGTGTTTGTGTTCTGTGTTGTGTATTTGGATTGTGAGATAAGGCTTTCTAGTCCAACCCCCCTATTCTTTWTTCCACAGGTGGACCTGCCAAAGGAAACTCTGATCAACTTCCTGTCTCTGGAGGTTAGTCCCCGCTCCRTTACTAGCTTCATCAAAAGCACAACACAGTTAATAAAAGGCTGGGCGGGAGGTGCGGCGATGGAAAGAACAGCCAGCAAAGGTCAAGATCCTAGACAGGAAGAGGGAATCCCGTCTCCTTCCTTACAGCTCTGTTCTGTGGGGAGTGAAGTGAGGGAACTCCCCTGCACTTACCCACAGCCTGACACAGTCATGGAAGTGTTGAGCTCCTCTCCCCCCCTCACCTCGTTCCACAAGGCTCACGTGTGTGACAGACGTGCACTGTTTAACAAAACACACTTTTAGAAGGTGTTTATATCCACATTCCAAASTCGTTACCAAGATTTTTGCTCATAAAGTTCCAGAATCCGTTCCATGACGACTAATTATATAAAGTGAAGATATTTTTTTAAAGGGGAGAGCAGAGAAATATTCTCAACTCTGCGGTTATATAAGCAAAGTCCTYCTCTCCATACTAAATGGGCCAACATACACAGGCTGGCCTCAGCAGCACTTTTGTAAAAAAAACAGTTTATCATCAGGAAGTACTTTTTAACGTTACTTATTACAAATCACACAAACACAGTGAAATGTTTAAAAAATGTTTAATTGTTCTCTAATGCTTTATAATTTTTTGAGGTTTATCATCAAATATGATGTTCTGAGTGTGGAGAGTCTACACTTTTTTGATATATGAGACTTMATTTGTTCCAAGTCTTTTTGTATGAACACTGATTCCTGATTTTTATTTTTTCATCCATTTCTTTTTCCCYAACTACTTCTGCCTACTTCGTGCAATATTAATTCAGACCAAAATATTTCAGTTTCACTTTATAAAGACCCCAGTTGAATGATTTAATGTAAAAAATAAGAATTTAAAAGTATGCCATGTCTCCTTTAATGTTTGTCAAATGTTTAATGTATTCAATATATGTATTAATGTAGCAATATTTTTATGCCTGCACTTTATGTTTTGTGTTTTTTATTCCCCAGTTTGAAAGTGAAGAACAGTTCAACAGTAGCGTCAAGACTCTGCTGTCTCGTCTCCCAAAGCAGCGTTACCTGAAGTCCATCTGCGATGAGATCTACAACTTTAAAATTACAAAAAGGTAYGCCGTCACATGTGACAGGAAGCCTATCTTAAAGTTTGGGTTTGGGTAAAACAAAAAGTGCATTTATTCTGTTTCCTGTCAAACAAAAGATGAAGATAGTCTGTTTAATTCACAGAGATTTAAAAGTGAAAGTTGCATTGAAAGAACCAAACAGCTCACCGCTGCCATGGGAACTCAGCCTGGCTTTAAACACAAACAGGAAAAAGCTTGTTGAAAAGAGCATGACTAACCTTTTTTTATGCTTTTCCTTTTTTCATATTTAGCTAGTTTTTAATTTTATTTTTTCTTTAAATGAAAACCAAAGACAATACCTTTTAAAAGCCACTTCCTTGTGCAGGCAGCTGCCACTCCCAACCTGCAGCTAAGCCCACACAGTCCAGGTGTAACAGTGACAGTCAGACCTTCAAAGTGAGCTGTTAGACAGATAACCACTGCCTTGTAAAACATTAAATCCTCTGTTGATCCTATTTCCTGAGGTGAAATCTGGAAAAGTTTTTTTTTTTTTTGCCTTGTTTGGTCTTGTGGTGTCTGGCTCATAACACCTCAGCTGACTGACGTAGACCAGCTCCCCCCTGACAGTGAGCTGCGAGTACTCAGAGCTGATTCTCCTCTTTCATAAATGAGACGGTAACAAGTGGGGAGGGGGTGTGGGGGGGAATCAAAGTGTCTCCAAGAGCATTTGTTTTTAATTTTCTGCCTCTGCTTTGTGTTTGACTTGACATTTTTGGRTAGGGAGGGGGTAAAAGACTCAACTGATAAATGAGCAACACAGAGGCAACAATGGGTACATTCAGCTTGTGTTTGTGTCCTTTTGTGTAGCTGTTTTCTTTAAATGTGAGGCACAGGCAACCGACGCCAGATGAGTGGGGTAAAGGGCTTTCACAGAAGCCACGTTGCTGTTGCAGGATCCTAAACAAAACTTATTCCCAGGGCTTTGCAGTCGGTGACCTTTCCTTTGAGTCAAAACGATTGCAGGGGAGACCTGCRTGTAAACATCTATCTTCACTACTGTTTCAACTTGTCCTCAGCCGTGCCTTGCACTGAATCAYGTGTCGTCTTGCTGACACTCGCTAATCAGCACTAAACCCAGAAGGCCGTTAGAGTTAATGAGGAATATTATTGCAAGTTTTTGGAGAAAAATGGTAAATGGTTTGAAATTTATCAAGACTCTACAGAGTACAAAGCACTTTACACTTCAACCATTCATACACTCATAGCCACAGCTGCCGTGGGGCACACTGATGGAGGCAGGACTGCCATGCACCGATGCCACCAGACCCTCTGACCACCAGCAGCAGATAAGGAGGATGAAATGTCTTGCCCATGGACAAAACGACTTAGTCGACTGGAACAGGGGATTGAACCGGCAACCCACCGGTTACAGGACTATGTAATTCAACTCTGTGTTTCATTCAGCTTTATCAGATGTGTAATATGCCCATGCCATAGGCCAGGGCTTTTCAACATATATATATATATCTCAGATGTTCCCATTATATGGATCAGTGGTTCCCAAAGTTGGGGTTCATTTCAAGTAGGGGTCTTTGCGGACGAGTGGGCGTGTCACAAGAAAAGGCGATTCTAAAGCGACACACCTGATTTGATGGACTTTGTTAAAGGGACACACCTGACTGGACAAGCAAAAAAGGGGCGATACCGTACGGCACCACCTCATTGGACAAGAACAAAAGGGGCTTTACTGTACGGCACCACTTTTTCTGGAGACCCCTACTTGGGTCACATTTCTCCTGGTTAACCTTAGTGTTGGGGTCAGGGTCAGGCTGTAAAGACATCAAGCAGGRTCTWAGGATACCGTCATGTAGGCCTYGTAGCCCACAGTGTTTATGCTTTTGACACGCCCACTTTTATTCCACAGATAACCCCTTCTCGTTCATTTTGGGGTCCTGAACAGATATTTTGCGTTAATTCCATTTTAAAAGGACTAATGACATTTTTTTTGCCTTAGTTGTTACAAAAGCGTAAGGATAGTGTATTTAAAATAGCATAATAAATATTGTTACTACAGCCTTGTTTATTTGACCTGATACCAATGTTTATCAACTAAAATTAGTTGTCTCTGCTGTTATTTTATGAGTCAAAAGCTGAAAAGTTTTGGAACTGCTGATTTATGACGGGGCTGTACTCCKTGTGCCTGCCGATGAGTTAATTTAAAGTAAACTAGATTTGAAATGGTAAAGTAAATGTACGTAATGACAATAATTTCCAGGATAACTGCCGCTTTAGCTGTTGGTTTTCAGAAGCTGTGKACCCCCGAGTAGTTTAGCTGAATAGCCCTGCCATAGGCGCTAAAGCACCTCCATATCATCAGTGAGGCAGGCTTTTGAAGTGTACACTGATAACTGACGATCTTTTTTTGATGTTTACTATGTTCCATTGTGAATAAAATATATGTTTATGAGATTTAAAAACCCTTTCATTAACTATTTATTTACATTTTACGCACAACTTTCACAACTATTTTTAGTATTGAGGTTGTAATTGGTTATTAATAACACTTTTTCTTTATAAAAACACTTCAGTTGAATAGTTTTGAAACCACATTTATGTTTTCCTTCAGTTACAAAACCTCCCCTTGAGATGACTCCTGGCAGAGTTGTCTCCTTTTCTAATAAAGTTCCCAGAAACCCTCCTGGATGAATTTCACTGTCCTGGTTTTAAGATGTTCTCTTTGGAAGGCTAGCATCATTTTTTCCCCCTTGTTTTTTTTTTATAACAAACACATGTTGTCCCTTTTCAGGGTGGCTGTGGTGGTCCTATACAGCTACAAAGATGACTACTACAAGATCCTTTTGTGAGAAGCGAAGGGGGCTCCTCTGGCCAGGAAAGGATTTGATTTTGCCAGAGGTCCAGGCGACTCTCATGGACTGTTTTTATCTGTGAACCTCCAGAATCTGCGTGGAGATCGGACCGATTTATACCTCGTTTCATTTGGAAAATGTGACCCCCAAAGACACAAGTGACTTTGTTTTAATGATCATTCAGCTATTAGAGCCAAACTCTGCCGATTTCCTAAAAACCTTTTGATGTTTTCTGCTTCAGACAAAAGGTTTACTGGACTATACTGCCTTAATAGAACCGTAGAATTGAAAAAACGAAAAGGGCTATCTGAGGATTATGAGTAGAAGACAGAAGGAATAAATCAGTTTTTCCCAACATGTTATAACTTGCTTTGTGTGTTTGTGTAAAGAGACTGGAGYGTAAATATGTCAAATCATTCTCAATATGTTCACAATAAACTGTTTATATCAAGCTTTACTACACCAGCTGTTGTGGTATTTGACTTTTAAGATTTTCCACATTTTGCCCAACAATTAGTGGTGAGATGTGATGTTAGTATCATGGTCTGGCCCTATTAATCTTAGTGAGATTATTTTTTTTTAAGTTATTCAATTCTTATACCAATACCAAATCCAAATAATAAAGTATAAAACAGGGTTCATTCCTTTTAATTCAAGAATAATCAGACACATTTTGACAGTTTGCTCTGCTGGATTTGATGTATTTAGCATTAAAAACTGACCTCAGTGGATCTGTAGAAGCTTGCAAATGTGCTTTTTCAGTACAAGTCCAATCAGCAGGATATGATTATCAAGGTTTCCAGATCTAGTTTATTGCATCTTTTGTCTTTTTCAAGTTTTTTATCAACCCAGTAAATGGATTTAGAGGTCTTCCTATTTGTTTGCACTCAACCCTCCACTCCCCTCTAAACCCATCAGCGTCTGCTACTGAGATAAGAAAGCAACTGGAAAACCAGAGAAAGCGATCCGATAAAAAGGAGCTAAAAGAAGACAAARTCCCATTGGGAGCACACGAGTCCGGATCCAGATGTGCTCGGGCATGTTGGCGAAGCAAAACCACAAACTGATACCATCGCCAATGACATCACCGCTCCTCGAGGAAACAACATTGATCCGCACAAGCCACTTTGGTTCACACATTTATTTATTTTTTTAAATAAGTAAAAATGTTACAGCATAACAATAATCTAGGAACATATTTACAAGATTTGCAACAACAAAATAAATAAGGCCTAGAATAGAGCCGATAGAAATGGTAAAGAGTCTACAATGTACATCAGCTTTGGCTACTTAAAAGTTCACTTTCCAAAGAAAAAAAAAACAGAAGAATCTCAAACTATAGTATTAATAAATAAAGCTATGTGAAAAAATAAATAAGCTACTCTTGTTTTCTACTTATCGGAAGTTTTTACACATAGAAAAACAAACAAAAAGAAAAAAATGGCGCAAGCTTTTACAGTCGCCTCTTCACTTTAAAGCACATGACTCAGATACGCATGTACTGCAAACACTTCAGCATGAATTGGTTTCGAACCAATTTTGGCATCAAGGTTGCCTCTGAATCGGGATATTGGCAATGGACACAAAGGTTTGATAAAAAAAAAAAAAAACAAGCCCCGGAGTTGGTTTCGCAACGCTTCCCAGAATCTGTCCTTCCCTGTACTGGCCAGAGCGAGACGGGGCTTCTGGTTTCAACAGCATCTCTGTGTACTTAATATACCTGTTTAATCCCTGATTAGGGCCTTAATCCGTTCAGGAATCCCGCAGAGACCTTTTTTTTCATTCACTGGCTTTTCAGAAAAGTTCTGCGTCTAACACAACGGGCTAAGAGTTATCGAAATATATATAAACGCATTACGGCTGTAGAATTCGAGCTTTACGAATAAATACGTGTGTAAGCAGCTAAGGAACACAGCTGGGAATGAAGTGAGACATCAAAGACATTCTTCACAGATCCAGGTGAAAAACATGGCAACTTTTTTGCCTCTATTGCTGTTCATGAAACGATCTGACTCGAATAAAACATTTGTTTCGTTTTAAAAGGCAAAACAWAGGACTTTGGGTTTTGTTTGAAAACAGACAAAGCTTTTTGTGAGGCATGTCCTTCGCATAAGAGGGAAAAGGGAATGTCTAGACAGGCAGTTAAAAACACTCATAATGAAACCAGAGGTGGAAAAGAAAACACAACATCTAATACAAATACTGTAAAAAAGATTTATGTACAAGAACTAAGGTAGAGACCACACATTCTAAAGCAGGAGTTTTATTCTGGGGGTCTGCAGTGCAATTCAWCTATTCTTTGGTCACATTCGTGATGCACCGTTGCATTTCCTGGGGGTTAGCGTCCCCGATATCCCATTTAAACCACATTCCAAAAAACAAACCCCTGTCCTAAAGCTTTTTATTCAACCTCCATTAGTTCCAGTTTTAACGGAGGCAATAAGAAGCAGTGATATTACAGTGTTTACAGTCAAAGATGACTCTGGTTGCTCCTTTTTTTTTTTTAAAAGCACAGTCCAAGCTCTGTGTCCTGAACATGTCCACTTCTCAGCGTGTCACTCTACCTGAACGTCCAAACAGAAAAACGACGGACACGTGATGAAGGAAACAGTGTTTTGCTGAGCATCCTGGAGCTGACTATAACACAAAGGGAAGGTTGGGACAAACCAACCAGCAGCTCTGATCCGGAGAGTTTTTATTTTATTTTATTTTTACTGCTGTATTTTTTTAACGGGGCGTCCAGTCGTTGTTCAGGCTCAGCTTGGCCCTGGGGATGGTCATCTTGTCAGGGGAGCTGATGTCTGGAGCGAAGTGGATGATGCCGCAGTCGTTCTTCACGTTCTGAAACTTGTTCTCCTTCGAGGGCTCCATGTAGATGACGGAGTTCTTGTTTATGTGCTTTTTCAGGATCACCGCCTGGGGAAGGGGCGAAAAAAAAAAAGGACAAGTTGACACTGTGGTTTGGGTCGCAGCTGACAGATTTATGCTACCCTACTCATTGGTTCTAAAATAGGAGATGAGTTCATTTTTTAACACTGCGGATTCGTTTAAAGGTTAGGATTTTATTAGTGGCATGACCTTTTTTTTTTCTGTTTGAAAGCACAGGGCAAAGGGAAGCCACATTTATCCCAGAGTCCTGACAGCTGGGGTGAAAMAGCTGGAAGGTCAAGGAAAAAACCTGGGCCTATAATTAAACCCAGCTCTAGGCTGGTACTTTACGATTCTATTCTTTTTCATTTTCAGATGACCTCTCACCTTCTTGGGTGCGCTGTAGCAGGACATCTGCACCCACTTCTTCTTCTTGTTGATGAGCAAYGCCACGATGAGGAAGATGATGATGGCCAGGAGGAGGCCAGCCAGGATCCAGGCAGCYGATTGGTAAACAAGGGCCATCTCTGTTTGACTGGGGTAGTTCTCACCCAAACCTGGCTCATCTTTGAGACAGAAAAAAATATATATAATAACAACACTAATTTAGTTTAATGGAGTGCTTCCCAAACAGTGGGACACAGTGAGGTGTCAAGGGGAACCATTAAGTTAATAAAAATAAAACATTTTCTTTTTTACAATTCATTGGCCTTGAAAAAAGGAGCACCAAAGAAATTAAGATACCTCACATATCTTTAAATAAACCAATGTTTTTTTATTTAAAATAAAATAGATTTTAAGTTATTTAAAACTATAAATTAATGATTTAACACAGCAAAATAAATGTAAAAGATAATACTTGTCTTTTTTTCAGGGCTGTGAAATTAATCRAGTTAACTCTGATTAATTTTAGTGCTACATGGGCATAGATTAAAATTTTTAATCTCGATTGATCGTGATTAAAATTTACACTCACTTTACTTTGACTGAATWTGTAGGTTTGTATATTGCAATGCACTCAGTGCATGCCAGGCCATGTTTGTAAATGAGAAGTGGTTCTCAAACAGTTTACCTGGATAAATAAAGGTTAAATAAAATAAAATAAAATAAAAAACTCCATGTGTAGCACGTTATGTACAGTTTTCTTTTTCTTTTTGTCTTCTTATGGCTTTTTTTWTTATTATTATTTATGTTTTGCTGACAACTGTGACCTTAGTATCTATCTTTCACTCCTCATGTTCATTTGGAATGAAAATCCTTGAATTCTTGATTTAACCTCATTATTCTGCACAACATTTAACTGACTCAAATATGTTTGGAGCATTTTTWGGTCCTGCTTTATATTCAAAAAATAATGTCTAAGCATCCGTTTTATTTTCTGAATAAAAACATTAAAACTAATTAATAACTCAAGTAATTTATTTTATAAATATGCAATAGAAATGTATATTCAATTTAAGATTCATCATGATTAATTCACAGCTACTTTGGGATTAGTCAGATTAAAAATATTAATCATTTGACAGCCCTACTTTTTTTACATAATGCAGAGTTTTCCCTACCATTTTCAGGTGATTATATGCAGAATGCTGGTGCCAGAACATCATACAGTGGTTTATACGGATAAATATTTAAATATTATCAGGCTCTCAATAGCGTTTCAGTTTTGGAATGGGGTGCATGACAGAAAATAATTGTGACCCACTGGTCTAAAGGATTAACAAATCGCCTGCACCTTACTAAAAYCATCTTACGTTGATTTGGTCTAGCCTTGTTACAGACTTTTTGCACAATCTTAATCTCACACAACAATGCAAACTTTTGTGAGATTGATAATGTTCTTCCATCTTGAACTGGCCTGACAATCAGTTGTAGATATGCACTCCATTGTGTTTATAAATTCGTTAAAATGATCACTTTTTTGTCTTCYACAGTAGAAGTAAATATCCATTCTAGAAAAACGACTATGCTTGCATCATTTTACAAAATCTAAATTGAAAACAGCTTCCTTGAACGATCAGCCTTTTGGCAGGTCCAGTTGTTCAGAATAAAAACCATCATTCTAGCTTCTTCAATCCCAGTTCTCAAATTATACATTTCACATTATTAAATCTTTTCCGTCATCTGTATAAACACTCACAGGGATTGGCAGGAAGAGTTAGATAAATATCCTAAATAACAAACAAAATGTGGTCAGATGAAGCTTTGTTTAGCAGATACCTGTGTCAGCAATAACAAGTGGGACAGTGACTGTGGTGATCCGCGGTGCGTCCCCCCCTGCAGTGGTGGCCTCTGTCTTCGGAGAGCTGGTGGACACTATCACTGGCAACGACGTCGTCACATCTGTTCACATAGAAGTAAGATGCCAGTAGTGTTATGTAGCTCTTCCAAGGAATAAACAAGTCCAGTTTGTGTTTACACTCCCTGTTGTCTCAGCTGATAAGCTGTGTTTATAGAATCTGACTTCCACTAAACCGCTTTGTAAAGGCATTACGTAAAAGAGAAAAATGTTCTGTTTTCCACCAGGCAAATAACAAAAACAAAACCCCCTCAAAAAAAAAAAAAGTCAGGTAAAACAGCCACATGTCAGAGGGAACAATAGAGAGCTATGCTGGGGTTTTCTTCTATAGGAAAAGCTGACGGGGAGCTTTGCCTTCCTGTGCTGCTGCAAGCCTAACCGTTGCAGGCGAACCCAGCCGGCGACAGGAAACACGTGTGAATGTGCGGATGCTCGAGGAATGTTCGCCACTCCAACAGGACTGTGTGAATGTGTCACATGGAGTGTTTTGGGAGCGATTGTGTTTGGTAGTGCCCGATTGTCCGGGTTGAACAAACGCTGTGGCATACCGTCGGTTGTTCTCTCATTTACACATGAAGCATTCTGACTCCTAACTTTYGGACCAGTGTAGTGTACATTTTGAAGCAGCTTCCTGTTTTTAGGGACCCACCTATGAACTCACCGAGACAGTGTGGGCAACACTGGCCCTTGCGTAGCACCGGCACTCTGCAGTTGGCAGCCGGGCAGCGCTGAGAGAAACACTGAATGGTTCCGTTGTTGCAGGTGCAGCTGGTGCAGGCGTTGGTCTTCCAGGAGTCCCCTGCTAGCAGCACGTCCCCCTCGCTGGTCATGCAGTACTGCTGCTGGCTGCTGTTTACTGGCAGCAAAGGACTCAGCGTCTCCTCTGCAGGTGAAGAGCACAGGGGTGCAAAGGGTTATGATGGAAATGCATCTGCGCGCCTGACTGCTTGCAAAATACTTCATCAACAGCTGAATGAATTTTAATTAAACTTGTAGAAAATAATCATTGGATGTATTGTATTGGYGTCAACCCAATTCAAAAAGGCTGCCACAGCCTACTCACCATTAAAAGCACAAAAGTGGTTATAATTCAGCTAATTTTACAAATATTGACCTAAAATTTGGAGTAGATATAGCTGTGGCTGTGCCACAATGCCAGTTTTACACATATACTTTATGTGCTAATCCTTGGACAAAAGCTTTGCTTAAAACTTCAGTATAAAATATTAGTCAACTCTGCTCATCTGTTAGCAAAATATGTCATGAACCACTGAATGAATTTTAATAAAACCTGTAGAATGTAATCAATGAATGTATCTTTATAACCAGTTATCTTTTGGAATCAATCCAATTCAAGATGGCTGCCACAGCCAACTCACCCTTTAAAGCACAAAAATGGCTAGAATTCAGCCAATTTTGCAAGTWTTGACCTAAAATTTGGAGAGGAAAATGGATATTTAGGACAGATTTTAATGAAACCATTAGAAAGGAATCATTGGATGTTAATTAATTTTGGAGTTGATCAGCTAACAAAAAAAAAAACCCATCTCTAACTCAGTCAGTTTTACAAATTCTGAGCTAAAATGAGACACAGTATTAGCTGAGGGTCATCCCCAACACATAATCTGATCAGGACGTCGCTCCTTTAATTGGTTCACCTGGATAAATATGTCAACTTTACAAGGTTACTGAGCCGTAAGAGCTGTTTTCATGATTAGATACCTCGCTACATGTTAAACACAAAAACAAGTGATGCTAAACGATGGATGTCAGCTCGGCCTCGGACTTTATCTCTGGTAATTCCATCCCGCCCGGCCCCTGCAGGTCTGAGCTCTGTGGCCTTTTCATGACCTGTGACACACTAGGTTCTCTACTGTACACATTCATCACAGGGCTGTCACTGAGATGTGTATTATTCCCACATTCCTGGTGACCGGGCCCATACATATATCAAAGCCCGGCCTCTGACAGTCTGCTTTTGTGAGGGGAGATGCAGCGATAAGGCGGGCTGACATTCCCAAGGAGCAGCTCTCACAGGCGCAGTCGTGCATTGCTGATTTGTGGGCCTCATGCCTAGGAAATTATGTTTATAAGTTTATAAACATGTAAGAGATACGTAAGTGTTTGGGTTTGGTTGTAAATAACTTGCGCATGCGGTTTGCCTGCACAGTACGTTCGTGTCAACACTTTTGTGTTCCCACAACCGGAGGAGATTTCTAAAGATTACATTCTTGCCCTTCCAGCAATCACAGCCTAAGACAAGCCTCTGTTGTGGGTTGTTGGGTGAAAACAGGCCACATGTGCTGCCTTCCTGAAGGATCTCTATGTAAACCCAACCGGTCCTGGCTGGTTTCTTTATGAGCCTGTGTGCCTGACATAAAACTGCCCACCAGCGCAACAGGCAAGACCCTCCGAAACCACTTGCAGATTCACATCAACAGCTGCTTCCCCTCCAAGTTTTATTTTCGACTTGCGCTAAATTCGTTCGCCCTCGTTTTCCTTCCTGAAACCACCCCCTTCTTTTCCTCATTTTTTTTATTACCTGGGCACACATGGCAGCAGGTGTCCTTGTTCCTGATGGGGGTCTGACAGAGAGCCGGTGGACATGCTTCGGTGTCGCACAGGACGCGGCCCTTCCTGCAGGTGCAGCGTGTGCACTCGTCCAGGTTCCAGGTCTCCCCCTCCACGTAAAACTCCCCGCCAGGTGCTCTGCAGACCACCTCTGGCTGGCCGCTGCCGGACTCATCTATTGGAGAAAAGGTTTTTAAGGTTTTGAGGTTTGACTAAAAATGTTCTAACGCTGTCATTTCTCAACAGAAGATTTCATTAGTAGAAAAAAGGTATTGACATTAACAATAACTGCTATATAGTGAAGTGAAATAAGCCTCTTTAAAAAATAAATAGTGACAAACAGTTTGCTTTGACCATCGTTTAAAAGGAAGCCTCAGGCCGTGAGTGAAAACATCTTTACTGTCCAGCAGAGTAGCAAACATCTGCARTGAGTTACGTTGGCGTCCCCTGACTCAGTGCTTTGCTCCTGAAACTTAGAAAACAATCTTTCCCTCCTATTTGAACAGCCAACTGAGTCACTCCTCTCTTAATATCACTTGTGAAACGAAGAGTTGGGAATAGACGTAGATCTGGATGTCTTTCAGTTCCAGAGAAGCACGTGGAGATTTGCGACTTTGCATGTTTGCAGAGACAGGAAGTAAAAACTAAATGATGAGCTGGGGAAGCTGTTTGGAGATTTTGCTGCCATGAGTGCACATGAATGTGATTGTCTTTATAAAATCTCCACATTGTTTGCAATCATTCATTTGTTAAAACAGCAAATTATTACATATTTGTCTATACAAGAGATGGGCAACTTAAATGATGGAAGGGGGCCTAGGTTTTTTGTTGATGCTAACAGAGGGCCACATAGAGCTGTACACTAGGGGTGCAAAGATACAGGAAATTCACGGTTCGGTTCGGTTCGATACTTTAGTCTCACGGTTCGATATTTTTTCGATACAAAAAAAAGAAATCTCCATGCCCCTTTTAACTTGTAATTTATTTATATTAATTATGAACATTTGTTTAACCTCAAAAGTACAGTTTTTTTAATTAAATGTTGCTGAAACAGCAAGTTTCTCAGTGGACCTGCGCTCAAAAATGCAGCCTAGGTGGAGTAGTCAAACACAGATCCACTGATCCTTTAACACAGAGCATCTTCAGAAGACATGTTAATAAAGTAAATCTTTAAAATCTGTATTGTTCAATACAGCACTGTTCGATACGGTTCGATACAGCTCGGTACGGGTACATGTATTGTTGCACCTCTACTGCACACTTATCCAAACATAATAAAATTGCTATTTTAAAAATGTGTATATGTTTATTAAACCAACAGTGCAGTAACTTAAAAATATTTCATGCTGAAATGGATGTGGAACTGAAGGAATTATTGGGGTTTATGTAATACACTGATTGTAATTACACTACACATAGTATAGTTTGTTTTATGATAGAACTGTCAGTATTTAAAACAGCTGGAAAAATAAATTGTTAAAATATGTATTATGTGCTTCTGTTTTTTAATTCAGGAGATTATAAAAAAATCATTCATTTTATGGGAAGACCCTCTCGATTCAAGAGAAAACTCCTTTTTTTAAATGGCTGCTTATTAATTAACTGTTAATCAATCTATAAGATAAATCAACTTCAGATTAATTCATTATCAATAACTTGAATCCTTAAGGAGTTAACTTAATTTATATCTMCTCAAATTCATGTAATTAAGCGTTTTAATGATTTGGCCGATTAATCGATTAATCGAAAAAATAATCAACAGATTAATCGATTGTTTAAATAATCATTAGTTGCAGCCCTAGTAATGACTGATAAATGTGATTTATAATTAACTTGATGATTCTATATTAATAGTTACATTCCTGGTAACAAATACAACACATTTGAACTTTTAATCAATAGGATAGATTGCTTTGTTAGTGGGCAGGGCTCTGACAAAGACAGGGGCCCCCCTACACTGATGACGTAATCAATAGGCAGAGTCCTGCCCTGAAGCTAATGTTATATATTCTGGTCATTTCCTGATTTCGGTCTGATTTCCTGGTACTGCATTAAACYGGTTATCAGCGAGAGCTCTCGGTTCTGTGTGGTTTACTTTCACACTCACATTACATTTGCACATTCTCAATATGATTTCGCACACATCCTGGTAACGAACACGAGTAACGTCTATTTCTTTCAGAACTGTTGCACTCTTATTTAATAAATATGAATACAAAATGCTTGAAGTAAGCAAAARCTAAACACTTATTTTAGCGAGCCGAAGTGGAACGACATAAAACACTCGGAGTGCAGACTCCTGTATGGTTCTCATAAAAAGTCTGTGCTGTTTATGTATTTGTGACTTCAGTACACTTCTCATATTTAGCTTTGTGCAACGTGTTGTAGTGGCAACTTATTTCAAAATTCTCCTTAGCAGACATATATACATATAGTATCTATCTATCTTTATACAGTATATAAAGACAATTTTATGATATTTTTGGCTAACTGTGGGGCTGGACAGAAGTCACGGGCCAACACTTGYTCATTCCTGCTCTATAGCAGCCAGAAATAATCTGGTTGCAGAAAAAAAACTGGAGACTGAAACATACCCTCACAGGTGGGACAACACTGGTCAGGCTTGACAACAGGATGAGGGCAGCTGGGCATGGGGCAGGATATGAGCACGCACATCTCCCGTCCCGAGTGGCAGAAGCAGTCCCGGCAGCCATCGTGCCAGCTGTCACCCTCCTCGTAAAGGCGCCCGTTGGAGGTGAGGCAGTAGCTGGGCGTTGGGGCTGGGATGGTGGTGGTGGTGGTGGTGGCAACCTGGCTGCTTTCTAGAAAGACGAACACAAAAAAAAAAGAGAATTAAGACTTTATGATTTATGAAAAGGRTAACAAACCTCTCATCCCTTCATACAAACTTTATCACTCATCCTGTTTTCTAAAATAGCTCATGGAGTTTCATTTATGACTGCATGACAATAATTAAGCAGAATGAGCTATAAAATACAACTTATAAATAGGTGCTAATACAGCTTTTACATGAATAAAAATATGCTGTATTGAGTGTTGAAGAAGACCATTAAAGAATCACTGGAACTCCTTATCAGCATGTAGAGGCTACAACCAACTCCTACCTCAACTGCCACTTAAAAACTTCTGGGTCATTTCACCCCATTAGGAACCTTCCAAAGCATAAAAGACTGTTCAGCTGCACCCAGAGACCCTATTAGGAGCAAAAATTGCCAAGTCGTCATAGCACAGCTTTTAAAGTTTGAAAGGACGTAGAATGAAGCTGAACCCGGTGAACTGCACAGCTCAGGCCCTGATGTTGATTCTTGTCTGTTTTTATAACCATAAAAACAAACATTTGGGGGAAAAAAATCCATTTTATGTATATTAAAAAAAGTATCCCCGGGTTTTTCAACTTTGCTCGTTGATACAGAGGCTCATTCAGGAGGTTTTAAAAGCAGGTAAACATTGTTTTATTTGCAGAAGGTGATGGTCAGTGCGAGAACCCGTTTGGTAAAAAGGACGAGCCAGATGCCTGGGTTAAAAAAACACTGTATGAGGCTGAAATTTGTCAGATACAGCCAAACTAGCTAAATAAACACATCAAATAGAATGTGGTGAAGGATAAATAAGGTGCCTGCAACACACAAACTAAAACTTTCACAAGGAAGCAGCAATATGTAGAAAAACAATATCTAAATGTTGAACTGGTGGTACAGAGAGGTTAAAACTAGTCCTCTGAAAGTACTGTAGCATAAATAGTTTCCAAATAGAGGAAACTCAATGTAAACACAAACATTTAGAAGTTCCAAACATTTAAAGGCAGCATCTTTTGGGAAGGAGGAAAAGTGAACTTTTAACTTCAGTTTTATACGTACCGAAAACTCTCTAATGCATCAAATGAAAGGAACAAAAACAACAGAATAATGTGACATCTTTAAACTAATTAACTTCATCTACTACAGTTGTGTTGATTCTTAACTTATTTAATTTAATTTCTCATCTGCAGTCCACTCATCTTTCTGKYTGGCTAACGTGAGTCGCCGTGCTTCAACCGTAGCTCGAACCTGACTCCTCCCATCTTACCGTTGCACATGCAGACGGAGCAGCCCTTGCGGTTCTGTCGATAGCCGTTGCTGCAGTGCTTGTCGCAGGTGAAGGGAGGACATTTGACGCAGCGGCACATCTCGCAGCCGTGCTTGTTCCTCCTGCAGCGTGACGAATAAACACACGAGGAAGCGGGCATGAACAAAAAGTCTATTATTCCAGACATCGCTGTGCCAGAGAATACACAAAAACAAAACATTGTTTCAAACTGCTTCTCCTAAATCTGCGGAGCAGCTTGTTATTGTGACACTCTGAAACCCACTCGCTAAAGTCGAGAATAATCAACATCTGGATCTGCCCCCACCCCTCCCTCCATACTGGCTGCCTTTGAAGATCAGCAAATAAAAGGCCAACATGTGAGCGGCCTGTGGTTTGCACTTCATACCAATCTTAAAGACTCTGGCAGTGGCAATTTAAAGCCAATTCAGATGCTTTCAATTCACCCTGTTGCCATCTTTATTGCTCCGAAAGCCTTTGGTGGGTATATAAAAGAAACATGACAGAGCAGTGGACTTATAAGCGTTAATGCAGATAGAAAGAGCTTGTTGATGTTACAGAAAGAATACAATGAAAGATAAAGGCTTCTGTTGGTCAGGTTGGAGAAGAGGCAAGGAGCAGAATGAAATGCAGAGGCTAAGGAAGCTGGAAACAAGACCAGTTGGATCCAATTATCTCCCCAATAAAACATGGATGAGCTGCAGGTTGATAAATTATCAGAACACAGATGAAAGAGCGACCTGCGTCTACTCCTCACTTCCTCTACATCCCTCCCTGTCCCATTCATTCTCACTCAGCCTTCCTTTCTCCGCAGGTAAGTGATGATTCATATCCCTCCCTGAGGCCTCATTAGGCATGGATAGTGACATTATTGATCTTCATCTGCCAAAATTATTCACACCCTCGAACATACGAAGACTCGCAAATCTCCCAGGTTCAGCCGACAGACGGCACTGAAGCAGCAACGGCAGCTACAGAAACAACTCTGCGAGAGGCGAGTTAAAACCTCACTGTACAACTACAGAGACAGAGTCCGGCAAACTCAGAGCACAGCTTTGTTCATAGATGATTTGTGGAATTCTAAGCAGCGCTTTAGGCTCCAGAGGGATAGAAGGGCTTCGGGAGACACAGGAGGCCCCGACTAAAGACTGCTAGCTCGGCAAAATTTCCACTGCGGTGCATCTGTGATGTCCAGATGAACTCTATTCATGACCTGTGTAGTCAAAGTCAAGATTCTGAGCTCAGAAAGACAAAAAAAATTACAACTTTAGCCACAAATACTACCCACAAAATTCTCTTCATTTATATTGTTAGCACAAACAAAGTTTTTTTTTAGTTAAGGCTGGTTTACTTCATCCTGTTTTAGGTCATTTCAGAACTCCCAGAACGCTGTCAATGCATCCAATAAAAACACAGATCATTCGAGCACTCGTTTCACGCGCGTGCGTGTGTGTGTGTGTGTGTGTGTGTGTGTGTGTGTGTGTGTGTGTGTGTGTGTGTGTGTGTGTGTGTGTGAGAGCTGGATTCTGGAGGTGCACAGGTTTGNGTGTGTGTGTGTGTGTGTGTGTGTGTGTGTGTGTGTGTGTGTGGCGGCAGCGAGCAGCAGTGTGAGAGGACAGAGCGGCACAGCGAGGCTGGCGAGCTCTCGGAGGATTTCTGACTTCTGAGGCAAGACCTAAACAGCTGCTTAGGAAGGATAAAACCAGGACTTCCTGCTCCCCCTCTCCCCCAGCAGAATTTTTTTTCTCATCCTCTCCTCTGCAAATATATTAAGTCCATCTTTAGCCATAGCTGCAGGGAGCATGGCTGCAACTTCAGAGGGATCCAAATGGTGTATGTTTCATAAAGGTTGCTTTTGTCCTGATGTGATTTTGATCATTGTTTTGAGGCAGGATGAGGATTTATGAAATGAGAGTGGAGCCTGGGGACCAAGCATCCTGGTACAAAGCACTTCCAGATGTTTGATTGGGGTAAATGGGATTAGGAGGAGAGGAGTTGCAGGGTCTGAGAGGCTAATGTGGACCCCACAGAAACTTAATCACACACAAACAGACACAAACACACTCACATATTAATATTAAATCCTTGGAATGGCCACCAAGGTAGGTAGGACCTTTGATCACGGATACTAAACACCTGTCGTATTACTGATTTTTGATTCACCACTTCATAATATTCAATTTATGCACTACACTTATTGTTAATTTATGACAGTTTACTGTACACACAAAAGGTGACAGGTCTAAAGTACTTATATATTACTTACTTTTTATCATTACTTTCTCTACATACAGGGTTTATTGGGAAACTGATGAAGTTTGAGTTAAATTKAACCCCGTACATATTTCCATGCTGTCCTTTCTGTTTAAGGTTATAGAAATTAAGTTRTTGAGCATTGGCTATAATTCATAAATGATTTTAAAAGCTTCCAGTCTGGTTTTAGGGCACTTTATAATAGAAAAATGACACTTGTTAAATTGACTATCAAACTACTTCTGAGTACAGAAAGAAAAAAACGTCTCAGTTCAAATTCTTTTAGACTTAAGTGTTGTCTTTACTGCTGATGATCATATCATCCTCTCACATTGTTTAGAGTCTTTGATCAGAATTAAGGGCCCAGCTCTAAATGYATTATGCTCATTCCTCTCAAATATGGCAGCACCAMGGCTCAGTGGTTAGCACYGATGCCTCACAGCAAGAAGGTCCTKGCTTCGATYCCCAGTTTGGACCTGGCATCTTTTTGTGTGGAGTTCGCATGTTTTCCTTGCTTGTTTTCTGCGAGTACTCCAGTTTCCCACAAAGACCAAAAATAWATACAATAGGTTATCAGATAAAATATATCTGTGATCTAAAAGGGATTTACCTGGTTAAAAYATATGTCAATAAATAATATAGATTTCCAAACAATTGTAGATCCTGAGGAGTACCTCAGGGACTCATCCTTGTCCTCCTAWTTTTGCATTATCAGACATTTCTTTTTGTGGTGAACGTCCACCTAACTAAACTTGGCTCATTCTCCTTTATACACTGTTAAATATTAACATTATTATTAAAACAGCATAGTTTCCAAAAATTACAACCCATACAGGCTTTTCTCTGCTGCATATTCTAAGGGTATCCATCTTGATGTAAACAAAAACAGATGCATTTTAGTTTAAGTAAAAGAAAGGCAAGGAGTTGGATTTGGGTAAGGAGAAAGTACAAAGGGTCAGTGAGTAGACATACACATATCCGTAGGGACAGGTCTTTGTGCAGGTCAGAGGTCGGCACTTGGGCGTGGGGATGCTGCACTCACACACCTCACAACCAAAATCATCCTTCTCGTATCCCGTTGGACATTGCAGARAACAGTATTTTCCCAAGTCAGGACAGGAGTCATCTGAAAGAGTTGAAAGAGGTCATCTGATCATGGCCAGAAAAATCCATCAAAAAAAAACAAAGACGTGTTTTGCAGCAGGGCTGATCACAGGAACATTCCTGTGTCTGAGCGCCTTGCAAAGACACAAGTAGGCTCTGATGAATATCAGCACGTCTGCGCCGCAGTCAAAACCAAGTGATTGCTAAATTCTTTTGACACACGCATGAGCAAACGGGTAAACGCTTGCATCAATTGTTCAAATCTCTGAAAGCCAATCTGAGACTTTAACGTTCGCCAAAACGTGAGGAAGGAGAGCTTACTGTTGAGGCACTGGCACAGGAGACACCCATTGTTGTCCTGATGGAAGCCAAGAGGGCAGTCGTTCACTGACAGGGAGCAGTTTTCCAGAGGTGGGCACAAAATGGGGCTAACAGTCTCATAAGAAGGTTCTGGAAACAAAACAAAACGAAGAACAGGGTCTTGACAAAGAACTCGCATAGGCAGGCAGGAGAGGATGTAAAATAAATCTAAATCAATAAGAAATTAAGTATTCTGCTAAGAAATCTCACTTAATTTTATATAAATAAGTGTGTTTAAAACCCCTCAGGTGGAACAATCGTTCAATTATTTTTGTGCCATCTGTAATAGCTACCCATTTACACATTTACACTGCTCTAAACAGTAATTACAGATAAATGTAGAGCAATTATACTAGGGTTGGGTACCTCCCTGTATTATTGTGCTCTACAGTCGCCCATTAGAAAATTGAATGTGTCTGGCACATGTAGAAGCTTCAGGGCTGCCAATGATGACAAACAAGCACCCCAGAGTCTCAATTCAGATTCAAATATTGCTTCAGACTGTCTTGAATTTGGGGCCAGATTGATTGAAAATCCACATAAAACAAAAATAAAACACACACACACACACACACACACACACACACACACACACACACACAAACATGCACACCCACACAAACATGCACCATCACGTCTCCTNAGATTGATTGAAAATCCACATAAAACAAAAATAACACACACACACACACACACACACACACACACACACACACACACACACACACACACACACCCACACAAACATGCACCATCACGTCTCCTAATAAGCACTTCTTGCCACGTTCTGCGGGAGGAGCAGCTCAACGAGCTGTAACTAATTACAAAAAAAGAAAAAAGAAAAAAACTTCAATTATGTGGCCTCCTGCGTTTAAAAGCATGCCGTAACCTCACACACAGGTGGGTCTCATTTTGGCGGGCAAGGGTAATAAAGGAACACAAAGAAGCCTGCAGCTTGAAGAATGCTCTGTGGCCTCCCTTTTAATGAGCCCATGCAGATACGCTCTCTGTAGCAAAGCTGGAGGGCCACGTGAGCCTCCTGCAAGTGATATGTGAGCTAATGTGTAGCTTATACTAGCTTGTTGCTCCCCATTAGCTTAATAAAGTACCTTCGCAGAAGGGACAGCACTCGCCAGGGATCTTCACAGGGTTTTGGCAGCTCTGTTTGCAGGCCATCGCTGTACAGTGAGGATCCCCRTCTACACACTGACAGAAGGTGCAGTCGTCCTCTTTCCACTGCTCCTCGTGAACTCGCAGCTTATTATTCATCCAACAGCTAGCTTTTGTGCTGTCTGATGACAACAGCTCTACATCTGAGAAGGAAAAAAGAAAAGGGTCTTATAAATTTAATCAAAAAAAAGTCTTTATGAGAGAAACAACATAAAGGAGAGTAGAACAGCACAAAACAGGATATTCCACCAGGGAGCAAACAATATATGGAGTCTGGACTTTGATGAAAATCAAAACAAAAAGCACACAGCTAAACTTAGAGGACTCTTTTAAAAGTGTAAGTCAAGAAAAAGCTTTCCGCAAAAAAATGGATCCCAGTTCAAAAGTTCAAAAATAATGCTTTGTCAACTCGAGATTTGGAAATTTGGGACCTCAGAAAGGCAGATGACATTCATGAAATCTGGTTCTCACAGGCTCCACTGATGATTTTAGCAAAAGTCTGAACTAAGCCATGTGAGTTTTAGCTCTGACCCCGTCGGCTAAAGGCCAGGCCGGAGTTTGATACCATAAATTTCCCTCCACAGCAAAGAAAGAGCGTCTACCCTTTTTAGATCCAGCAATTAGTTTCATGTAGAAGCTGTAAATTCTGAAATAGTTTAAAAGGCACTTTGAGGCGTCATTTCTGCTCAGCGCTTTGAGAACATATTGATACTTTTACTTTTACTTTTAGAACATATGGATGTTTTGGGGGGAATGTTTGAGCACATTTCTGCATTTTCTTTATGTGTAAAACAATACGTTGTTATACTTCTTCATATGGATGAATCAGCCCATTAAATGATTGTGAAAAGAACGAGGGGTGATGTAAGACTATTGTCCTCTGATGCTGTCTGAAACTTTGGCTGTTGAGAACTTAATGAAGTGTCTTTGTGCTCGCAAACTACTAGGAAAAAACAACTGGCTCTGTACTTGCTAATTGCCACACTATGGTTACCAGCTGCTCCCAAACTGTCTGATGTTAGAAGCAGAATTGGTAGCACACAGAGCTTTTTGAACCTTCCCTTAACAATACTGTCAGAAGTAATAAAAATGATCTGACACATAAAATCTGTTGGATTTCAAACTAAAACCATCAGCTGAAATACGACAAAAGCCCCGTCTTGAGCTGAGCAGGTCAGTCTCTGGTTTTAATACTTTGTGGGTTTTGTTAGAACCTACCCTATTCACATACAGTAGAAAATAACAATTGGGTATAATTTACAGTAGATTTTCCCACACACATCATTACATCATGCGTTTTCCACTGTGAATCTTGCAGAGAAAATGCAGCTTTCCAAAAGGAACTAATAAAAGCATCTATACGGTGCAAAGAATTGCAGACTCCAACACTATATGCGCTTCTGCTCTTTGTCTCCTTCTCACCCAAAAAACATGTACAATAGGTTGCCTTCAGACCCAGGTCTCCCTTGAAAAAGAGATCTGTGCTGCCTGGTTAAACAATGGTAAAATAAAAATAAAAACTCCTAATGTGTGCATGTGATTACCTGTAGCCACGCTGGCAGAGACCAAAGCTGGCTCCCATCTCCATCTACAGGCTCCTGTCAGTCTATAATGTGGCTGCCATATGCCCAGCGACCCCTTTTTTCTTTAACAATGCCAACAAGCACTTACCAGAGCTCTCTACCTGACTTTAAGCACACGTGATTAAGCCAAATCTGAAAAAGCCCCAATGTTCTCACTGAAAGTCTCCCCAGTGGAAATGAATCCTTGGGTAGCGGAGGGGAGTTTCGTGATTGGAGGGTTTTGCCGTCATCTAAGCTGCACCATCTTTAGGCTCTGCATTTTCTATTAAACCATTAACCGAGTTGTCACGTTGTAACAAAAGGAGTAAATGTGTGTACCTATGCAGACAGGGCAGCACTCTCCCTCGGGTACGTAGAAGTTTTCACATTCTAGCTCGGCACATTCTGCCTTGGAGCAGAAGGAGATTCCTCCGCGGCACTGACACAGCCAGCAGGGGTCCATGCGGTACACCTCTCCATCAGAGAACTCTTTCCCCTTGAAGACACACTTTGGAGAGACTACAGAGAGGAGAAAATTGTTGTCAGTTTTACACTGAGCTTGACATGTGGAGTGGTTTGTGTTGAGTGTACAGTACTCTGTCCTTCACATTTGTCCTTCATGAACAACAGCATTTACAAGACAAATATGCAGTTCTCATTGTATAACCATCAGCAAGARGCTATCCTAACCTTCAACAACCAAAAACAAACCCAACTGTTCAATTTTTTATTCTGGAAACCTTTATCCAATCCAAACGTTTTGAAGCTGATCTTAGAAGCCAGAAAACGGCATTTATCAGACAGTGAGTCCATCGGGAGGAATTTCACAGGAATCTCTCAAGTCTTGGAATAGTTTGGATTCTTGCAGTGCGTCGTAAATTAAAACAGTTTGGATCTRAAGAATTTGGCAGAATCTGGGCTCAGTTCTTTGGTGGCAGGTGGAGGGAATCACTCCTCTGGCCAAAGTATTTACCAAGAGCATCCAAGCATTTAGAACCACTTTCAACAGTGTTCTCTCAGCTATGAAATATTATTAACATCATGAGTGAACAATCAGGTCTGATTTTGTGCATAGTCAACAAGTGTGCAGATATATATGCATAAATCATGAAAAATGGTGGAAGAGAAGCTTAACAGTAGCAACTAAAGGTACAAGTTTTATTTAAAAAAATGAAATTGATTCAACCTACTATTCACAACTAAAACAGCTTTAGTCAATAAAAACAGAAAAAATACACCTTAATGTTAAAACCATAATACATATTCAATGTACAACAGGGGTTTGGATGCCTCAGAGAGAAAATGAGGCAAATTAACAATGTAAAAAAAGCCTCAATGCTCACTGAGGAGTAGCTGCAAAAGTAAGGTAAATACAGTACATGCGTTGCTCAGATGGAAGCAGATGTGGGCGGGCCATGGTTTTTAAAAATGAGAGCAGAGGTTACGGCGGCATCTGCACGCCATACCTTTAAGTTCAGACTCAAAGCGTGTGAGCCTGTGACCCCACGCCTCTTGACAAGCAGTGTTGAACTCCTAACACAAAGCAGGTGCGGCAGTGGGGTTGATTGTGGGGTGGGCATTTGGTTAATGTTTTATTATCTATCTTGCTATTTCCCATCATTTTTTTTCTTCTCCTTTTCTTCATTCCTGCTATCTCACTTTGCATGGATCAAAGTCAAGATGAGAAAATGCAAGAAGCACTTCAGCTGGGTAAAATCTAAAGGTGAGGCAATGGCATTTTAATGCTCAGACACAACAGGAAGTCATGTGGTGTGACGCTTATGTCATTTTTTTTAGTGTAATCTCTTTACAATTTGCAGAACTTTTGCTATTTGATCTTAATTCTTATTTGTTTTAATTAAGGTGCTTCGCAAGTATGTAGTGAGACATTGTCAAAAGGCTGGTTGTCCTGGTTTACAAACATAAAATGTAAAAAAGAGAAAATAGATTTTTCTGTGAAGATTAATAATGATTGGATTCATCACTATCAACTTTGGAAAAACAAATCTAACAGATGTCACTAACATAACCACATTATGAACTTGACTGTTGTTGGCCGTGTGTTCATAATGAAGTCAAGCTGCAGTCCCTGACACTGATTAGAGGAGTGATCTCAGCTTTATTGCTTAACACCAGCATAATTCTCTCAAACTTGGCACCCCTGCCTGACAACCGGGGACATATTTCGAATTTGTACCAGTCAAAGTGTTGAGAAACAGCAGCCATTTGTAACATCGGATAACATAAGGTCAGGACAGTGCTGCCAGGTCTGAGTTACCGCATATCAGTTGTCTTTCAGCCAGTAGTGAGGGAGAGGCCAAAATACACAGGTGGGACTTTAATGTCAGCCATCAGCCCAATGGGAACTGGAAAGAAGCTAATCAGTCTAAGCCACTAATGGAGAAACAATGCAGGGTTAGAATGTTTTCCACAGGAYGGTGTTTGTTTCCAAACGAATTAGACTTTATAAGATACGACATTTGTTGATGTTACATTGGAAGTTGCTGCAGGACTGGAAAGTTGACAAGGGGGCCCAGTGCGTGTCTTTGTCCATGTCCCTTTTCTGTGGAGCTTTCTGACATGGCACGCAGTCATGCAGCCCTAACGGACAGTAGGAGCAACACAAAAGGCATCAAGCCCCAAGTCCAAAGAGCAGCAGACACTTGTTATCAAAACACTGATCCCCCGGCCCCCACGGCTGCCATTCAGCCCCCGCTGGCATGCCGGACTCGATTACCCTCCCCACTGGCAGACTGGAGCGCATAAAAAGCATTCCCATCAATGAACTGCTGAACCTTTTGCCCTTGTGGATGTGTGACCAGACAGGAACCCTTTGACACTGCACTTCTGTTGAGCAAATTCATAGCCTAAGCACTTTTCTGGTCACTGGGCTTGTTAAGTCCATTAATTCCAGGACACGGCACTCATTTATACATCTGGAAGGGCCAGATTGGGAATTTGTTCTGTTGGTAAAACAGGGAATATTTTTGGGGTGCGCAGAGTAAACAGGCCAGTGCCACAGGTCCCCGGCCTTCCTGGCCACCTTCGCTCCAAATAAGAGGTGCATTGAAATTTGAATAACTGTTTTCTTTTTTAGTTTCGTTGTATTCTTGTGCACTTTTTTTTCGCTTTATCACCCTTGTGGGCTTTTGATGTACCTACTGTATTAAAAGCCCATTCAGGCAATAAAAAATTGGGTTCAACAAAAGAAAATGTGTTTAATCTATGGTCATTAACTCTGGAAGGCTTGACTCAGCATGATGAACAGTAATAATCCAATCAGCAACTTTCTTTTTTTTACTGTAAACGATTGTTCAGCGGGGAGAAAAGCCTGACTCAGAGGAACGTAATTGCCTCCAGCTCACTGATGCATTTCACACCAACTGTGCAAATGCGTCTTGCAGTGGGAGAGCAATCAAAGAGTGTTGTGTACACCAGTGCTATCACCTTTCTGGCACTCGTAGACATCGCAGCAGTCTCCTGGCTGACCGCTGGCATGGCTGAGTGGAACAAAGTGCTGTCCGCTCGGGCAGTGGGGCTTCTGGCAGGCACCAAAGTCACAAGTGCACTGGGGCGGTATGGAAGGGCAGCAACCAGCAGGGGGCGTGTAACTCTTGGTCAGGACTGACCCTTTGGGGCAGGAGGGCACTGACAGAGCCGGACAGGTCACCCCAGCACACCTCAGCTGTTCTGCAGAGAAAGCACACATGGATGTACATTAACACATGTTTGTCCTTCTTCCCTTTGCATAACACTGTTCTTCTAAAAGAGGAGAGGTTTGTTGTGCCTTTTTGTGTGAATGCCCGCTTGGGCCGCTTTAAGCTAGATTTATACTCGACGCGTCGCGCAGGGCGCCAGGGTGCGCGCGTCAAAAGTGACGCAATATCGCCGTCCTCGCCCCTGCGCGTAGGCCCCGTGCGTCGTTTTGGCGCGTGTCGTGCACCTMCGATTTTTTGAAACTCCGCAAAGGCTAGTGCACACGYCGTTGAYGACGTGAAGCTRCTCACGTATGTACCAGCATTTATAYGATCCCTCTATRAGAGATCATAAAGATGTTCAAATGGCACAGAATGTTTGGAAGGAGATTGCTGAAGCGATGCAGAAAGATGAATCTGTGTGTAGAAAGGCTTGGAAAAATGAATTGCATGTTCTAGTAATGTATTAATTAAATTTACCCATCTGAAAAATAAACCAAAAGAATGTCTTAGGTTTACTCTTTTGATCAGTACTAATAAAAACTTGATTTTTAATAACAAAATTAAAATTTGAGGATTTTCCCTGTGAGGCAGCAAAGCTTTCTTTTGATTCATGATGGGAATTATATTTACAATACCAACCATTTGAGGTTTCCTATTTATAATAACATCGAATGTTCTTACAATTATAAAAAAAGTCCGTTTCATACCTAATTTTATAGAGTGAAACTGTTGATGACTTTGGGAATAAGACCATATGCAAACAAAACTGAGAAGGAAAGTTGCTGTGGATATTTCAGTGTAGTTTTATTTTATTTAACATCATTTACACTCGAAAATAKACTTAAAAACTAAAGGTACAARGCCAAAACAGGAGGCACCAGCGGCAATTGTGGCAGATAGCTCCACACTTAGTCAGCAAAGAAAAAACAACTTTAAATTAAAATAAGAACACAAATGAATAAAATAGAAATGAAATAAAGTTGTGTGACGTCATACATTTCTTCCTCTACGCCCGTTTTTCTTCTTCTACACAYGTTTCTYGCAACMTGTACTGCCACGTGCTGGTCCATAAAAGAACAGCACTTTGCCGTGCGCCGCCGCACGTCAACTATAAACACAKCGGCAAAACTGTAAACGCAGAAGCCGCACGGCTCAGTACACACGCACTCSGCGYGCTCCAGCYGGCGGACCAAAGCGCGAGTATATCTCGGGCTTCAGAAACATGCTACTACAACCAAGTTCACACGATCAACCAGCAAAAGTCTGCACCAGGCCATTAGATCCTCACTTCAGTTTGTGGCAGCTTTACATACAGCCTTCTGTCAAAGCAGCCAGAGTGCAGCTCCCTCACCCTCTCTTACACCACACGACACAGTTCTCCACATATCCTGTCGCCGCAACTCTGATCCCACTCAGTCTGCCTCAACTGACCCACAATCCAAACAGCCGCTCGCTCTCTAAAAAACAGTCGTTAATAGCAGCCAACCTTCAACAGAGCTTTGCTTCATGCCAGTTTACAGACGCCCCTTCACTTAGCATACCAGGACGTATTTGTCCATTCATCTGCTGAGCCAATATAATGCCTCTGATAGCTCTGGTTAGGAGGGGGTGGGTGTGAGAAGAGATGCGGGGTAATCTGGGCAAGGGGCTTAGGGGTTGTATTTTGGAGCCYTTTCAGGAAAATAAAAGTGAAGCCCCTTCTTTACAGATAATTCTTGAGAACAGTAGCCTTCTTCCAAAAAAGGGGATTACTCAAACCAAAGGAGGGGTGTTTATTTTGGTTCTCAGTGTCGCTGTAACGTACACAGGAAGGCGGAGGTGGTAAGAAGATTGATGCTCTATCCTGTAATCAATCAGTCGCTAAGTTCTCCCTCCAATTCCCAGCAGTAAACACAGAGTTTAACACAAAATCAGAAAGGGTAGGGAAAGTGGGAAAGCAGTAAAAATACATACAAGAACGAGGAAACTCTGGTCACTTCACGTGACAYGTACATACAGGAGAACATGAGTCAAGCTGATTATTAACTTTTAAAAGAAATACTTGATGGTTTTTGTATGCATCTGGTTTTTAAGGAAAAGGCATTAAACAGACTGAAAATTGCATAAAAGTGCTTTGGGTAAAGTTTCCCAATTTTTTGGCTGGTGGTCTTCCTGGATTGGWGCTGGAAGCTACGTCCCTTAAACCTGTTCTTTAAACACCAGTGAATGAATCTCTTTGAATTTTGAGCAGATTTAAGGTATAGATTTCCAATTGGACCTTCCAATCACACTCATTTATTCYGTTTTTAAAAGATAAAATCTTTTTAATTTTTATTAAATCTGATCCTCTTCTACCATCCAGTTTTACATCCATTTGATGTCTACATGACCCAAAATAAATACACTAAAAAAAACATGTACGGATGAGGGGCTTCGASTGAGACTGCTGCAATTTGGCGGGTGGAGGTAATGTAACCGACAGATGAAACTGAGAAGAAGGGAAATGTTAAACTTTTCTGGCTCCAGATAAATACAGCAGGAGTGTGAGGTGTCTGTACTGTACTGTTTACTCAAGCAACCTGGGAGCCGTGAGGACARCTACAAAGCTCTCATTGATAAACTTCGCAATTGAATAGTGTCAAAGAAAGTGAAGGAAAACCCCTAAATTAACGGACGGCTGAAACCCTTTCAAAGATTTCTTTTTGGCCTAATGTCTATACCGGGAGTTAAATAAACCACAGATGGAAGTGCTGATTGGTCAATGTTTTACTTTCAATAAAGTCTAACACAGTTCACTGCTGCTCAGTTAAACTGCTTTTGCATTTGAAAACCTYCAGCTTCTTTTTTAAATCCTCAAAAAAATGCACAGGGACAATCTTGCACACGGTTCAGCGCTGAAAAACACTTTCTGTGCATTGTGTACGCCGCTGAGAAGGCTGATTACTCTTTCAGTTGTGATAATGGCTGGGGTTAGAGAGCACTGGGAAAAGCAGCTGGCAGACATGCCATTGTCATTCAAATGAACTGAATTGTATGCATCTATGGAAATGGTCCAACCCTTGTAGGTGTAATTAATGTAATTTTTCTTTTAAAATGGAGCATTTATRGGAACAATAGGTAGAAACAGAGGTTGGGAAAAGTCAGTGGCAAATGGATATTATTCTGCACAGTTTCTGTTCTATATCGAAGCAGAAATGTAATTAGTGAGTCAGTGAATGCAGAAGGATTTTTTTTTTGTTCACAATGGTGAAAACACTCCAGCTTGCACAAATACAAAAGCCATAATTTGGTACGCTTGATAAATTCTTGCTGCAGATCCAACAATAACCATTTTAAAAATGACTTAAAGATAGGAAGSAATTGGAAACCTTTAACACAAAGCATCCAGTGCAACATTTTGCAATTTCTCTTACGCACACAGAAGTGAGACGTGGAAATTGCCTCGTGGCCACAGAATGGTGTCGTCTGTAAATGTTGTATATTTCTGGCACCTCTGGAGCTCATCGAAGAAAAGAAAACCTTTTTTTCCCTTCAGGCGGGACACAAGGAGTGCAGTCTTTCCTCAGAGCAAAGCAACTGAACCAGGCAGAGGAGGCAGCACTGACAGCCTGAGTTTACTCATGGAAAAAGTGCACAATGTGAGTTCTGTTCACCAACTGACTTTGGAAGCAAGTCAGTGGAGAACAAAGCCATCTCAGTCCGGCTACCCTACGTGGGTTTTTGGTCTGTCCTCAGGTTTTATAAAGTTGCACAAGGGACACATCAGGGCGGTCTCTCCTATTAAGGCTGTGGGGGCATGGGCCCTTCACCAACCAGCAGTTTGGGTAACCCRTGCTTTAGATATGAAGGCCAAAGAGCAGCAGGGTGTCCAAAAGACAGAGACAGGTTCAAACAGGTGGAAACCTAGAGTGTAAAGCAGCAGGGAGCTCTATAAAGCTTGTCCTATCAGTTAGGGATGTCCCGATCCAGATATTTTGGCTCCCAATACAATCCGATTTTTCTAATGATTAGTCTTTAAGATACCGATCTGATACGATCCAATAGCTTTATTTCTTTCCAAGTGACAAGGCTGGTAGTATTAAAACGAGCCTTGCTGTTCCCACCATGAGAAACATCAAGTTTGCAGATTTTGCAAGTTGCAGTTTCAGCATCATTGTTTTCCATTGAAAAGTGTTCCCACACTGTGGATATGGTTGCATACTTATGTACGTCATGACTTCTTAATGGCAGCTGTAAAGCATGATGATGCTGGAAAATGTTGCGAAATCTGGATCGGCCCGATCACATGACTAAATCCGATTCTACACAATTTTCAAAAAAATGGCCATATCTGCCACGATACCGATACTGAGTCTCTGATCGGGACATCCCTACTATTAGTCTTTAGCTGATACTTCTAGATAATAAACATTAAAGGTTGTTCATGAAGGACAGTGGTGTGGTTGTTTGCATTGTCACTCCACAGTAAGAATAACCCAAATTGAGATCRTAGCTAAAGCGTTTCTGTATGAAGTTTGCATGTTCAACGTAATTAACGTTTTTAGTTTCCCTCAAGTGAATGTCCACGTTCATGGATTTTTAGAAAATAAATGAATTACATTTTATCATCCAGAGCTACTTCACATTAGAATAACTTGTGGAGTTCCACAAGGTTTAATATTAGGACCTAAGTTAATTATACACGAGATTATTTTTTATTATACTTAATATGTTGAAATTTTTAATGTTCGCAGTAGATTCAAACTTATTAAACTGTGGGGGTCTCAAATTATTTAAAGTTAGGCTATTATTGAAAATAAACCAAACGTATAGTGTATCTTAAATTGTCTTAAAGACAAAATTTGATATGAGTTAAATAATGTTCAGATCGAAATATTTAATGAAACAAAACTCTTCCAAGTGAYTATGCTGTATATTATAATACATTTTAGAGGAATGTTGGATGAGTAATGTCTATATAATATCTTTTATTTTTATTTTTTTAAGCCAGGCTTAAAATAAAAAAAATGTCTG